GCCGGTCCTGCCCGGTGCCGCCCCGCCGGTCACGTAGCTCTGCGGCACCGCAGCCACATTTACCGCGGGGCCGGAGCGCACAGCCCGCAGTCCGTGCTCGCCGCCGCCGCCCTACACGGTACGGGGGAGCCGGGGGTCGGGGAGAGCCGGGGGGAGCTGCCCGGGGGGGCGGCCGGGGGGTCCCGGCAGCGGGAGCCGCCAGCCCCGCCGAGCCTCCCGGGTGTTTCCGTGCGGCATCCCGCGGGTCCGGGCTGGGGGGCTCCAGGGCGGAGGAACGCCCGGGCATGGGGGTATTTTGGGCTTGGGGGGAGCCAGGAGACTCCTCCTGCGCTGGCGGAGCTGGRACCACGATGGTGGCGGCCGGGGGGTCGAGCGCCCCGGCTCCCGGGGGCATCACCGGCCCCGCGACGGCGCCAGCCCCGGGGTATCGCCATCCGTGGAGTACCCCAAACTTTGGGTACCTCCATCCCCGCGTTGTGCCGCCCTGGGGCGGCTCCATCCCCTATTCCTGGGCTATTTCCGTCTCCCCGGTATCCCCATCCCCTCTCTGTCGTCATCGCCCGCGTATCCTCCCCGCGGGCTGTTGCCGGCCGTGGGGTATCTCCATCTCCGGGGTACCCCAAACCCCGGGGTAACTCCAGACCCAGGAAGTGCCTCCCTGGGGTCTCTGTTTCCCCTTTCCCGGAGCACTTCCACCCCGCCGGTATCCCCATCCCCAGGCTGTTTCCACTCCCCGCGGGGTATCCCCATCCCCAGGGTACCCCCATCCCGGTCCCCTCGTGTCCTGCGCGGGTCCCCGGGGAGCTGCGCTCCCTCAAGATGGCTGGGCTGGGGGCGGGCTGGCAGGCACCAAAATGGCTGGGAGCTGCCCGGCATCCTCCACGATCCCTGCCACGAGGCTTACACAACGTGCCCTGGCCGGGGGCGCCGGGCTACCGGCCCCGTGGCGGTCCCGGGTCCCCGGGGAACGGGCTACGTGCGGTTTCGAGGTGTCGCCCCGCCGGTGCGTGACTCAGTCCCCGTCCGCTCGCAGCCACCGCCACCATGACGCACCAACACCCCGCGCTGACGGCCGAGCAGAAGAAGGAGCTGTCGGACATCGCGCTGCGGATCGTGGCCCCGGGGAAGGGCATCCTGGCGGCCGATGAGTCCGTAGGTCAGTCTGGGGGGGAGAAATCTGCCCCACCGCCCCTTTTCCCTGCGCCGGATGGAGGCTGACGAGGCTGCTGGGTGCCCGCAGGGAGCATGGCCAAGCGCCTCAACCAGATTGGGGTGGAGAACACGGAGGAGAACCGGCGGCTGTACCGCCAGATCCTCTTCAGCGCTGACAGCCGGGTGAAGAAATGCATCGGGGGCGTCATCTTCTTCCACGAGACCATGTACCAGAAGGCTGACGACGGCACCCCCTTCGTCCAGATGATCAAGGACAAGGGCATCGTCGTGGGCATCAAGGTGTGGGGGCTGCCCGGTGGGTTTGTGGGGTGCTGAGGGTGCTTGGAGAGTGTCAGTGGGGCTCAGTACTGCCTTCCCCTCATTCCACAGGTGGACAAGGGTGTTGTGCCGCTGGCTGGGACCGACGGCGAGACCACCACGCAGGGTAGGTGCAGAGGGAGCTGTGGGGTTTGGGGTTTGGGGCTGCGGGGTTTGGGGCTGCGGGGTTTGGGGCTGAGGGTTTTGGGGCAATGGGGCTGACACGCTGCCTGGCAGGTCTGGATGGGCTGTGGGAGCGCTGTGCCCAGTACAAGAAGGACGGGGCAGACTTTGCCAAATGGCGCTGCGTGCTGAAGATCAGCGAGCACACCCCCTCCGCCCTCGCCATCATGGAGAACGCCAACGTCCTGGCCCGCTACGCCAGCATCTGCCAGCAGGTACGTGCCTACCGTTGTAACCTCATGAGTGGGCAGTGACCTGTGGGATGGGACACTGTGTGGGCAGGTATCACCTCACGGGGTGGGCACAGATCCCTGAGGGTCAGCACTGCGCCTGTGCGATGGTGATGGTGATGATGATCCCTGGGGATGATCCCCAGCGGCTGGACRTAACCCCTGTGTTGGGTAACACCTCACGTGGGTGGACATGGGGCACATGCCCGTGGCATGGACATCGCCCGTGGGGTCAGGCGTTAATCCCATGGGGTCAGGCATTGTGGTCCCCACCCCCACCAGTAAAAAACTGGACCAAGCAAAATCACCACATTCACAAATATGGACATGGCTGCGTGGGGCTGAGAATTGACCCTCCCAGGCTGGACATCCYCCCATGGGGCTGGGCATCATTGCCAAACAGGGCATTGAGCTTTGGGGCTGAGCTTCACTCCCCAGGTGGCCTCGTCCCACATTTCTATGGGGCCGGGGGGACACCCAGGGACATCAGAGTCATGGCATCTGCCTGGTGGTGTTTGCAGAACGGCATCGTGCCCATCGTGGAGCCAGAGATCCTGCCTGATGGTGACCACGACCTCAAGCGGTGCCAGTATGTGACAGAGAAGGTGAGTGGCAGGGTGACAACAGGGTGGGCACCGTGCTGTGCCCTGCCATGCCAGGGGACTCCACGGTGGCTGTCCTCCCCAGGTGTTGGCAGCTGTCTACAAGGCACTGAGTGACCACCACGTCTACCTGGAGGGAACCCTGCTGAAGCCCAACATGGTGACYCCCGGGCACTCCTGCCCCACCAAGTACAGCCCAGAGGAGATCGCCATGGCCACTGTCACCGCTCTGCGCCGCACYGTGCCCCCGGCCGTGCCAGGTACCGGCCCTGGGACGTGGCAGAGACCAGGAGAGGGATGCCCCGTGTCCCCCCTGGTGC